ATTGAGCTAAAAATATTTTTACCTCCATGTATAATTGCCGAACGAATATATTAGAACATCTTTTTGACTAAAAACAATGTTTATTATGACATTGCCAACTAGACACGTTTTAGTGTATCGCGTGCGCCATTTCAATTCAGTAACAATACATTGCACAACGTAGTCCCTGGTAAAATTGGTTGTATTTACGGTTCTGAAGTCAGACATTAACAAATACACATGTAGTTCAGATGTCACAAGCAGCCTGGGTATATATATTGTTTGTAATACATTTTCAGGAAAAACAACTGCTGGAATGACTGTGCCTTGTGAAGTGATTGATCACAAAATTGAAGGCTGCATGTGACACATCTTCGCCAGCTAGGTTCATTCATTCAGTCGTCGCCTCACCATCATAGGCACGGTCTTGACTCAGTGGTCGGCTTTGAAACCGTACGAATCGGGCGATGTCCGTGGCCACGCGGTACATGCAGCTGAAAGACCTGTGAAAACTAAAGGAGATTGACCCTGCGTACAATAATAACAATGTCACGTGATATGACAAATGACACGCATTCTAGAGCCTTCTCCAGGGTCTATGGTTGGACCATGGAGGTAAAAGTGATTGGTCCTTCTTGGAAAGACTTTCTACCTTCCATGTTCCATGGAGGTAATCTCTTTTCTACCTCCATGGTCTCAACAACATCACACAAATATGTCACTCAAACAGCGCCACGTGCGACGTATATTGCCCTGATCATCCTGACCGACCTTGAGAGGCAAAACGAGGTTTCAGATATGGCGAATAAAATTTGTTTATCTTTTGTTTTACGACATTGTTTTGACAACGTTTTATTCAATTGCTTACATCATTCAGCAGTCGTGGATTTTTTTCTCTTTACTCAAGACGATTTCTGAAATCCTCCAGCCCACCCTCAGTTTTCATTGGCCCGCCCTCAACGTGTTTATTTGCTTCACTGATGACACAAATCACATGACAATCGTCTGCTTGTGAATACAATTGTGAATAATTATGGCGGTTATTGACCTTGGCATGGTTTTTAATAAAACTGGTGTGTACCGGAACACTTTGGAACACAGCCAGTCAGTTTCGTTTCTTTCCTAACAGTACGTATGTAATGGGTTGTTTGTGTGTGCCGTGGTGGCGCACTTCCCACGTCGTGTCGCAATAATATACATACGTACGACTGGATCAAACTTGTTTTGAGATTACGGTGCCACAAGCTTCGTATATCTAGCGGTAATCTCATTTCAGTTTATTTCGTGAGACACACAAACGTTCTGCTGCACAACGCTGACAATCATGTTCCGAATTCTTCGCGTATTCCCGCGGAATGGAAGTTATTTTCTCCGATGTGAAGCCAAGCAACTGTGGACAAGTGGGCGCGTTTGTGCAGCAGCCGCCGCGTTTGTTTACCAGAAAAGGCTAGACCTGCCCTTGCAAACACACGCAAAATTAGCTGGTCGAAAATGGGTTCCCGGTGGACTGAACCCAACTAACAAATATCCTGAATTCATAGCGTCACCAAAAGATAATTTTCCGCCTGTTTATGAAGCGAAAAACAGCGATCAAGTAAAATCAGTATCCGAATGGGCCAAAGCTGCCAGGGAGATCGTCGAGGACAAGCTCGTTGATTACGGCGTGATATTATTCCGCGGTATGCCAGTGGAAGGGGGCGAGGGGTTTTCTCAGTTTCTCATCAATTTAGGGTATGAGACGATGGGTTATGAAGGAGGGCTTGCTGTCCGTCAGAAGGTTGCAGCCGGGGTGCTCACAGCCAGCGACGACTTGCCGGAGGTCACCATACAACCACATAATGAGATGGCGTACTCAGAGGACTATCCCAAAAAGGTGATTATTATTAAAAAAAAAAATTATGTTGCTAGCCGATTAGTGTGCACGATATAGGTTATATATAGCTACATGCAAATATATCGGTGTTGTTTATGTGGGAATCGCTAACAATCGAGTCTAAGAGGTCAGAGGTTAAATGTTGAATAGTGCCGCCATTGCGACATAAAACTAAACTGCTGTTTTTTTTGTGTATGTTTTCACCTTGTCAGCTTGGCATGTCGATCATAAACACAATATTTATTTTTATTGTGTAATACAAAGAGTTGACCATTAGTAATTTATGTAGACGAGTGGTCTGCAATGTTTTTCTTCACTTAATTTTTAGTGAGATTTGGTTTAATACAATGTTGATGTAATATTTGTTCAGCTTTTCATGACATTTTTTCCCCATATGGTATTGCTGGTTTAACACAATCTGTTCCATCCATTTCGCCTATAAGTATTAGTATATTATAACGATATATGAGGCAACAGTTTTTTTAATTAAAATTTGTCAGGTCAACTCAAAGACAAATATGGATTTATATATATATATATATTTTCAACTCAATTTTTTTTTTTAAATCCACCATATCCAATTCCCTGAATTTCTGAGTTTATTCATTTTAAGACAGTTTACACATCAGATGACCTCCTAAAGTTTTGGAAATGGGATGCCAATTTATGCAGTGCAACTCTGCAATGCTACAGAAACTGCGCTATTGCTATCCCTACTTTACTATATATGGTTGATTGAGGCATGTGCTGTCTATATTACGGGTAAATATATATTCAGTAGTTATAGATACAAAGCATTCCCACAAGTTTTTATATAAAATATTTATTGAAGGGCGGTTTATCAACAGAAATGTCGCACATGCGCAGTGCGACGACAGCTGTCCTTTAATGTTTTTTGTTGGGGTTACCTAACGGTTTCTCTAGCCAATGAAAGCTATGTTTGATTTAGTGTTTGAAACTTCTGAGCTGAGTTCTCGACTCCTGTGTGCGAAGCACAAAAAGGGAGTCTTTGCAGTTAGTGTGTCTGTCTGTGTGTCTGTGTATGTATGTATGTATGTGTGTGTGTGTGTCTGTTCCACTGATATCTCAAGAACCATACATTGATTTTTGATGAAACTTGGTGCATAGATGCTCTGGGCCAATGCGCAGATTTGATTAGGTTTTGGTAAAATCCATGCAAATTAATTACCTAATTTGCATGATAATTAGCTGATTTGTAGCTGTTCCATGATTGTTCCACTGATATCTAAATAACCACTCATTGGATTTTGAAGGCACAAGGCACATAGATGCACAAGTTTGATTAGATTTGGGTAATATCTGTGCAATATTAATTACCTTTTTTGCATAATGATTAATAAATTTTTGGCTTTTCCACTGATATCTCAAGTACTAATCATCACATTTCAATAAAACTTGGTACATAGATGTCATATGACACTGCACAGACCTGATAGTTTTTAGGGTAATATCAGTACATATTAATTACCTAATTTGCATAATTAATTAATTTTTAGCTTTTGATATTTTAAGTAGTAATCATCACATTTCAATGAAACTTGGTACATAGTGTGCAAAGACCTGATTTGGGGTAAATATTTGTGCATATTAATTACCTTATTAGCATAATTAGTTAATTCTAAGCTTTTCGCCTGATAACTCAAGTACTGATGATCATCATATTTCAATGAGACTTGCTATATAGATCCTCTAGGACTATGCAGAGACCTGATTAGTTTTAGGGTAAATAATTGTGGATATTAATTACCTAATGCGCATAATTAGTTAATTTTTTCTATGAATGTTCCACTGATATATAAAGAGCCACTAATTGGATTTTAATGAAACTTTTATAGAGTATTCATCATCACATTTCAATGCAGAGACCTAATTAGTTTTTGGTAAATATTAACGCTTATTAATCACCTAATTAAAATAATTAATTAACACTGATATCTCAATTACTGATCATCACATTTGAATAAAATTTGGTACATAAATGCTCTAGAACAATAGACAGGCCTGATTAATTTTGGGTTGAAATTTGTTCACATTAATTCTCTAATAATAATTCATAGTTTTTTTGTTCTAATCACATTTCAATGAAACTTGATACATAGATATTACATTACCCAGGCCTTATTAGTTTTACACTCAAATCTGTTCATATCAATTACCTGATTTACATAATTAGTTTTTAGCTATTCCATCAATATCTCAAGTACAAGTATTCTTTAATTAATTTTTAATGTGTCTTCAATACTCTCAGCACACGAGTTCTTTCTAAGCTTTCTTTGATTTATGAATGTCTTCATGAATTTATTCACAGCTTTCTGACATGCAGTTTATTGTGATACCCGATCACTGATGTATATATGAATGTCATATTCCAAATACTGTAGAATACTTTATTTTTCACTTGGAATTAATTTTCGCTATTTTCACTGAAGGAAGGATTCAGTGAAAATAAAATCCAGCGATTATACTTTTTTTCCTATATTTTAATTTCAACTTGTCAAAAATCAGTAAAAATAAATTCCATACAAATCACTAAAAATTTCTTTTGAGCGAAAATTAATTCCAGCTAAAATAAAGTATTTTACAGTACTTGAAATCCCACAGAGCAGGTATTGATTTATGACATATAATCTGATTTTTTTTTCTAGTTATTCTTTTACTGTCATGTTGCTCCAGAACCTGGACGTGGAGGAGAGACCGGATTAACCAGAGTGAGGGACATACAAGCCAAATTAAAACCAGAAGTTAAAGAAAAATTTCGAAAGTTGGGAATAAAATATCATTGTTACCTTCCCTCCAAGGAACACAGCCAATATAAAAGTTGGCAAGAGGTAAAAATCACATTGTTACATCTGATTTGTGTGATCATGCTGTTACAAGTCATTTTCTTACAACAAATGTTAGATCCAGAAAAACCTGCATATTTCATGATGATATCTGTAACTCTTTAATTTTGGTGAATAATTTTGTCATTTTTGTTAAAAAGTGATATTTTCGACTTCTTGTTGAAAACCACAAGTTTGACTGCTTTGATATTATACATACATGTACATCAGGTGTACCTTTCCCAGATTTGCTCATTTCATGATGATATATTCAATTTTCTAATTTAGATGAATATTTTCGTCATTCATGGTAAAAAGTGATCTTGTTGAAAACCTCAAGTCAGATTACTTTGATATTAAACATATAGGTATCTCATGTGAACGAATCTCAGATTTGTTCATTTTCTAATGATATCTTCAATTCTCTAATTGAAATATGCATTGCTAACAGTAGAGCACAGTCAGCTGGTGCACACATGATAATAAAATAAATGCGATATTTATCTTGAATGCGGCATAAAACTAAATAAGAGACAAGTTGTGAAACGCGATTTTCAGATTCCTACAAATCTGGACAAAAATACCAATCTTTCACAAAAATGCAATCCGTTGGGGTTATATAAAGCCGACCGATAACCGAATTCGCCATTTTTGATGTTGAACAAGGCTGAATGATGATTGATGTTTTAACATAATTGATGGAATTTGGGATATTTGAAAATTTGTGGAATTTAAATTTTTTTTATTCTTTTTGCATTTTGCTAGATATCAACATTTTGAAGAATGAAACCATTTTAATGTGATAATGCGATAATGCGAATAATGTGATAATGCGATAATGGGAATAATGTGATAATGCGATAATGCAAATAATGTGATAATGCGATACCGGTAATGCGAATAATGCGATAATGTGATAATGCGAATAATGTGATAATGTGATAATGCAAATAATGTGATAATGTGATAATGCAAATAATGCAAATAATGTGATAATGTGATAATGCAAATAATGTGATAATTCGAATAATGTGATAATGCAAATAATGTGATAATGTGATACCGGTAATGCAAATAGTACGTTAATGCAAATAATGTAAATAATGTGATAATGCGAATAATGCAAATAATGTAATAATGCAAATAATGTGATAATGCAAATAATGTGATAATGCAAATAATGCAAATAATGTGATAATGTGAATAATGTGATAATGCGAATAATATGAATGCGAATATTGTGATAATGTGATACCGGTAATCAAAATAATGTAAATAATGTGATAATGCGAATAATGTGATAATGCGATATGCGAATAATGTGAAAATGCGATACTGTGATAATGCAAATAATGCAAACAATGTGATAATGCAATATGTGAATAATGTGATAATGCGATATTGTGATAATGTGATAATGCAAATAATGTGATAATGCAAATAATGCAAATAATGTGATAATGCGAATAATGTGATAATGCAAATAATGCAAATAATGTGATAATGCGAATAATGTGATAATGCAAATAATGTGATAATGCGATAATGCAAATAATGCAAATAATGTGATAATGCAATAATGTGATAATGCGAATAATGCAAATAATGTGATAATGCAATATGTGATAATGCAAATAATGCAAATAATGTGATAATGCAAATAATATGATAATGCGATAATGCAAATAATGCGATAATGCGAATAATGTGATACCGGTAATGCGAATAGTACGTTAATGCAAATAATGTGATAATGCGATTAATGTGAATGCGAATATTGTGATAATGTGATACCGGTAATCAAAATAATGTAAATAATGTGATAATGTGAATAATAATGTGATAATGCGATATGCGAATAATGTGATAATGCGATATTGTAATAAAGCGATAATGCAAATTATGTGATAATGCAAATAATGCAAATAATGTGATAATGCAAATAATGTGATAATGCGATAATGCAAATAATGCAAATAATTCAAATAATGTGATAATGCAAATAATGCAAATAATGTGATAATGCAAATAATGCAAATAATGTGATAATGCAAATAATGTGATAATGCAAATAATGCAAATGATTAACTTGATTGGTTTTATCATGTGTTCATAATGTATGTCTTTTTCTAGACATTCTTTTCAGAAGAGATGAGTGATGTTGAACAATTCATGAAAAAGATGAATTATGAATACAAGTGGTGTGAAAATAATGCGCTTTCATACTCGCACGTGTTGCCAGCATTTCAAAAACATCATAAAACAGGTGAATATATTTCTTACAGATCATTTACATACATCTCTGTCATACTGACCATTTAACCACTCACTGTAGAATACTTTATTTTCGCTTGGAATTAATTTTCGCTGAAGGAACGATTCAGTGAAAATAAAATCAAGCGAATATACATTTTTTCTATATTTTACATTCAACTCGTCAAAAATCAGTGAAAATAAATTCCATACAAAACAAATAAAATGTCTTTTCAGCGAAAAATAATTCCGGCTAAAATAAAATATTTTACAGTATGTGACAACATTTTCCCGCCAACATTTTGGTGGGACATTTTCCCTGTTTTTATGTAATTTTTCTCTTTTTTTTCTGATAATTTTTAAAAAATGGATGTAATTTTCTATTGGCTACAAGTTTTGAACATAATTTTGGAAAATATGCAAACAAATTATGGGGTGCATAATTTGTGATGGTGATTTGCTGCCAATATTTTAATCTACCGGTATGTAAAACTCAAAGTAACATTTGTAACAAACAAATAAAAGAAATTGATGATATACTGTAGAATACTATGGCAAGGCAATTCCTCAAAATTTTACTTGGTGGTATGTGGTGAGAAAAAAAGATGTATGTTTCTTACAAGGTACAAGATTTTTAGTGGGTATTTAATATGAAAACTTGTTTTTATTTTGGTCTATGGAAATTACTGCTAAAATGGCATTTTATGTCTACTGTAAAATGACTAATTTTCACTGGGTTTAAATTTTGCTGATTTACCATTTAAGGCATATTCAGTGGGTTTTAAATTCACGGTTTTATCATTTAGATAATGTGTTCTATGCTAAATTTTACATTTTCACTTGGTTTTAATTTAGTGCATTTTCTAGTCAGCGAAGTAAGCAAAATTAAAACCCATCCAATAATTAATCCTTTTACAGTATTTAAAAACAAAAACAAAAACAGATTGACAGTGAACCAAAAATGTTCACATATTGGCTGACATTAAAGTAAATAAATGTAGAAAGATTTTGATACAAAATAAGATAAGTGCTAAAATATGCAAACGTGTAAAAAAACATATAGCATTGAACCTTGACTATTACTGTCATAATTTTAATCACTTTCTTTGAAGTCTTTACAATCAGCAAATTATTGTACTACCTGACACATTAAAAACTTATGCATTCGGCAATTGTAATTACAGATAAAGAAAGGAAATTTGATTTATTTGTATGTAGCTTACTTACAGTCAATTTTGAAAGGAGAGGCTTGGGTTCTTGTAAAAAATGATTTCTTAGAGTTCCACTCTTGAGATAATTTTTGATGGTCTTGGGACTTTGTAATATTTTATGGTATGAATACGATCCAAAGTGCAGGAAATATTTGAGTAATCCCTTTTTTCAATGACTGCTACCTGCAGAGGTAAATCCACATATGTGGAACACTATGCAAAAGCAAATACCGAGATTTGGGTTCTTTAATACATATTTCCGACAAATTCAGACAACTATATATGTCATGTAATAGTTGCAAGATTCTAAAAGCACATTATGGATGATCTCAGAGTGTGTACTTTTATCTATTGTAAAAAATAACAAAGTTGACATACTAAAATCTATTTTCAGGAGAAGAGCTGTGGTTTAACCATGTGCATCGCCACCATGTGACAAACCTATCTGAGCATCCGAAATACGCTGACCAGCCTGACTTACCCCCGCTGCGCTTCCCCTATCACACCATGTACGGTGACGGGACTGAAATAGAACCTGAAGTGATGCAGCACATCCGTGACGTCATCTGGCAAGTCTCTGTCGGTTTTCCGTTACTGAAAGGCGATTTACTGATCTATGACAACATGCTAGTTCAGCATTCAAGGACTGGGGTTCAGCGGGCCAAGAAAATTATTAGCTGCTATGACACGTGATTAACAATGTTAAACAACGATGATGAGCAATAATTCACAATGTGTTTTCTTTTACTCAGTAACATTTTAGTTGCACACACACACACACATGTGAATATACAGGAAATTATAACTTTATATCTTCTCTGTTAGATGATATTCTGGTGTACGATAACTTATTTTTAACCAGCACTGTTTGATGTCTCTTTCGAAATGTGAAGCATTTATAGTACATGTATAGTACAGTTTTTGCATCATGCTTTAATCACATTAAAGTCATGAATTTAAATGTGATACACCAGAATTACCATAGATGAACCATGGCCTATTCAATCTCTACTGTAAATTGCTTAAATATGCAATAAAAATATTTTTTTTTGCAAGCAAGATTGGATAATGATAGTAGGGCAACAAGGGTAGTTTCGTGATGTGAATGTGATAAATGTGGAAAGCTGTGTGACACCTAGGCAAGCGCTGTACTGTAGCTACCATACATTCTTTGCTATATTGAATATAATACAATGTACATGTGGTTAATGTTTTGTGGGGTGAAATGTACATACTAAAATTCAATTCCAGTTAAGTCGAAGGCAGTTTGATACATTGAAAATACTTGTCAACAAACAATTTTCTCACTAATTGTTTTGACTTTTAGGTGTTGGGGTTGGTCAATCTCAAAAGTGTCATTTTTAAAATCAAAGACCAAGTTGTGTTTGGCTCTTGATCCTCCATTTAAATATAATTGTTGTCACCCATAACAACCATTTTCAAAATATATGTTCCAGCTTACTGCCTCTGTGGGAGGGATGATATGAGCGGATACAGAATTAAAACATTCATGTTGTGCATACGTCAAGAAACCCCACTGTATTAGTTTCATTGCAATCGATTTGTTTTTGAAGATGTGATTGTTTCAATCTGAGTACATTCTGCATCATTTTATTGTCGTCTTTTAGAGTCAAAACACAGCATTTTTAATTTGTTCTTCATGATCAACCTGGTGGATGGATCAGAAATAAAAAGAAAATATAAAAATTAATTGGTTTATAGTCTCCTACATGTGTGATTATTTTTAATACAAACATACAATATGTTGTTTAATAGTTTCAGTTGAATCCAGATGTTAATAGGTTTGGTTCGTATGGGAATGGGAACTAATGAACTGATTTCTGTGGGTATGTGTGTGTGTACCTGTATTTCAGATATGTGACCAGTTATGTTGAAACATCTTGTGATTCATATGCAAACGCATTCGTTTTGTGGTTTGATTCAAATGATAGAATGGGGGTAGTTTAAGTAATACAAATTCATTGAAATCAAGCATTTCTGTTATTTAAGATCCCATTTATGTATCATAAATGACCAGATTTGCTCATTCTTGCATTGAACATTATGATACTTTAAATGTACATCACTGGTGTCAAATTCTGTAACCATATCTGTTAAAATGCCTTCACCTACCACAATTTAATATTCATACATAGATCCAATCACTCGTATGCAGGTGTATGTACTTTTTTTGTATTTCACTATCTAATTACCATTAATCTCAGCATTAAAAAGCATCACAAATTGTTATTCTTCCAAAATAGGATATTCGATTTTGATGCACTTCCCTAGATTCAAAATGGCCGAATTGTGGCCATTATATTTTAAAGAATGTTTGTCTGTACCGTATCTCTGACACGACTGATTGCAGTTAAACTTTTCACATATGTTATATGTCAAGTTACACATTTGTTTTCAAGTTGCAATTTAAAATTGTATGTAGGAGAAATGTACTACGGTAAAATCTTTGTGGAACTAGATTTTGTGAATGATTTTGTTCAAATGTGGTACAGAGTCTATGATGTGCATTAACTTCTGGTTAATATAAGACATTGGTCAGCTTCCCTATTCCAGCCTATAACTTATTAGTGCATGCCCGGTAACTACGACAATTTATGGTAACAGGAAATCTTTTTGTTCAACGAATGAATGAATGAGGTATATTTCACTATAAAACATACATACATACATACAGATTATATTATACAAATGACTTACAAATGAAATAAACAAATGAGTAGATAAATTCAGTAAGTAAGTGTATAATTCAGAATTTTATATATATATATATATATATATATATATATATATATATATATATATATATATATATATATATATATATATATTAGATATGTATATAAATTGCTTATAGTAAGGATCATGGATATAGTTCCCTAGAACTAGTCTAGTCCATGACCCTTAACAAAATAAACATATACCGTATATAATAATATTAACAAGCCATCATGGCACAGTCCCCGTTAGTTATCGAATTTAAGATATATAGTTTTGTTTATAGTAATATAGCTAGAATATAAACATGTCAGGAATATGATTATGATGATTGTTTAACATTTAAATGATTGACTTTTGTATACGATCTAAAAATAAAATAACGTGCACCAGGAACCCGTAATGTATAATGTATGTACCAAGTTAGAACAAAATCCATCCACAAATGCCAGAAATGCTTGATATTTGATGATATTTTAGCACAAAAATGGCCACCATTCGGCCATTTTTAATAGGATCGTCAAACCAATATATCTGTATATCTATGACATGATGTATAATGAATATTTGAAATTTGAACATAATCAGTCACAGCAAGTCAGAGATATGGCACTAGAACCACATTCATTAAAACAAAATGGCTGCCAGTCGGCCATTTTGAATCTTATCTGAAAAACAAAATGATGTGCATCAAGGTCCTATAATGTCCAACGTATATACCAAGTTTGAACAAATCCGATTTCGGACTGCGTCCGAACGGGGACTAATAAATTATATACAAGTACATAGTTTTCTAAATAATTGAGTAGACTGAAAGTCTTAAATTAAACAAAAACTTAATCATCCAAATTCAATACTGAAAAAAAAACTTACAAGAAAAAAGAAATGCACAAGAAAATATATGAAATAAAATTATAGTGTACCTTTCGTCATTTCACTGACTTAGGGGAGCATTTGTTAATTTGGATTTAAATGTGTGCCTTTATTACGTTTTTGAATGTGCAAAGGAGGGAATTCCAATGGTTTGTTGCAGTAAATTTTATTGTTTGTTTTGGCATGAAGTTAGATTAATTTGGGGAACATAAAACTTTCAGCCATTGCTAGAAGTGCTGCGTAATGTTTGGGTATTGTGTCCAGATAATAATTTATTGTATGTGCAAAACGACTATTTTTTTAGACAAAAAAACAAATAGATATGTTTGAAGCTTGCATAACTTGTAAACATCTAATATTCCACGTTTACGTCTCTAAACAGTAAGAAATTCGGGCAAGAATTAAAAAAATAAAAACAGTAGCGTAATCTTAATGCCGAGATAATACCCATTTATTTTGAATGAGTGATATCAGACATTAACACGTTGCCTATGTGAAGTATCACCCAGATCGATTACACGATTTCTGCTTATCTGTCTGAAGATGCAAAATAATAAATTGGGTAGTCTAAAGTCTGGAAAAAAGATTATAACCCAAAATGAGAGTAGTCCTTCGAGGATTTCAGCTCAACTTGGCGCGATTCCAAGAAAAAAAACTAATGACACTGGTGCAATTCCAATAAATAAATCTACCTGTGAAAACGACGCAGTGGAGTACGATAACAATTTGGCC